TATAAAGTTGATAAATCGAATAGAGATGTAGTACTTGACTACGCAATTCAATTTAATCTATTATACTGACTCAGAAACTTGCACCGGTGAGACAGTGACTAGAAGGCCAGAATGCGTAGTCGCTATTAAGATTAACAAATGGAGGACAAAATACCAAACGTACGCTTCACTAGCGAAATCACGCTCTGTCTAATCATTTCCTTTCAACTGTTTAAGTACTCTCGTTCACCTATTTAATTTGCATACTGGCGAGGAAATCTGAGGGAAAATAAGATAATTCAGGAAAGGCTCAAAAGTTAAAATAACTGTTAATGCAACTAAACAGACCCTATAAAACCTGCGGTATAAAATAACACTTGTCGCAAACTTTTATTAAAAATCGAATAAAATAATCTTTCAAACCAATCGCTTCCGTTCATTGAAGGAAAGGTACTTTTATGGTGCCAATACAAATGCATTGACTATAGATGAAAAAAATATTCTAAGAGTAATAGATTAGCAATAATCTGCTCCGTGTTTCTGATCTTTATTAACCAAATTTTATCACGGTTTAAAAAGAACAACACTTCTAAAAATTAATTACGTACTTTGTAAATGCGTGATAAATCGAAAAAGACTTATCTTCTAATGCCATCATGTTAAAGCCACGCCTTTTTTAATATCTATAAAGATTTGCATTTTTCAGAATGAATGTACAGAAACTTAATGGCTCATTCTAAACTGATTAAGATCTTGCCATTAAAATATTATCATATTTACTTCCCTTCTAGTATTAGTATGCATCAGGAAAAAATAAAACCGCAATTATTTATGTCGTCCTAAATGGGATTAAGTTACGATCTTTAACGGCTTTCACGACTTTGGAAAATTAGTTCACAAGCTTAATTAAATGAAATATTGGCGATAACCATAAATTAAACAAATGATTAAACTGTAAAATAGTTGGTAAACGAATACACGTGGTATTTTTAATAACTTAAAGTAAGGTAATGTGATGAAGAACAGCATATGCAAATTGTTCTAAAGTGCATTAATGTATGGAAGAAATTGAAACATTAAAATAGTCATATTCATTTTTACTTCATTGTACGAAGTAAAAAGGAAGTATTGTAGGTAATCGTGAAAAGTTTCAGGCAGCATATTTCAACGAAAATATCAATTTTGACCGCTATCGAATGCAATTTAACGATATATTTGCGTGATATCTGTACGTAAGGACAGAATAAAAGACTCTTTTCCTCCAAAAAAATTATAAAACTGCTTTAAAATGAATTCTGAAGAGAATTTTTCGTGGCGTCTGTACGAACGTATGTACGTACGTACGAACGTATCTCGCATAACTCAAAAACGAGTAGCCGCAGAACGTTGGGATTTTGCATATAGGACTACTATAACATGTAGATGTGCACCTCGCATTTTGGTTGCAATCGGCCGCGCCAAACGTATATAAATATATTTATATATATATCCACTCTGTTATCCGGCTCGGTGATCTCAGTTTCTTTACTCTTATATGTTTGTAAATTGTACATTTTTTGTTTTAAAAATGATTGAATTATGTTTTTCTTATCTTCCGGTTAAGGTTTTTATGCCTTTAGTAAATCTGTATGCACTATGTTTAGAATTATCAACAATTTTAAAGTTGTTTAAGTGCCGCTAAGCCTAGTAATGTTTTTGATGGCGGCCATTGCTTGTTTAAATTTGAAACAGCAGAGTAGTGGATTTGTTGCCAATCTAGAGAAACGTAGCTTCGCAACAACAAAGATAACGCCTTCATTTTTTATTGCGAATTAAATCATGCTTAATCCTTTCTGGAATTTTTTCGAGGAAATAAGTGTTTAAGATTTACTTCGTAATTTTTAATACAGATATTTTGAGTTTTTATGTATTTTTGCCTTCTCGCGAAGTGAGAACTGAATTAATTAAATGATAAATACAAAATCGTCTGTGAAAAACTGTTTCTTTTTTGTTTACTTGCTTAATTTCTTTTATACATCGTTCTAGCTTTATTGTAGTATTTGAATAGAACATGTGGCAACGATTAGATAATTCTTTAAATGATATAAATTTTGTACATTCTGAATTATAATATGAAGGAAATATAATACTGTTAAGTGAACCTAGCGCCAGAGTGTCGCTATGGTAATAGAGTGAATTTTAAAGAATGTATTTATTCTATTGTGGTTTATGCGCTGTCGGCGAAGTAGGTTTAATTCAATCCAATAAGTTTAAACGAAATGCAAGAAAAAATGCGTTTAATTTAATATTCCGTACAAGGAAGTCATGTGGTGTACACATCAGATTTTTTTACTTGTGAATTATGTAAATCTTTCTAAAAAGCGAGCATAATTTTCAAAACTATTAGCCGGTGTGAAGGCTACTTTTAACTTTTTATAAAAAGAAAATGGAAATCTTTATTGCAATGCAATGTTGTTATTTCAATTGTACGGAATTAATAAGAAAATAAATTATAAATCGAGTTTTCGTTTTATCTACATATATAGAATTTTTCATTGATTTCATTAGATCATATAATATTTGAATCTTTTACAGCAGGAAAAATGCGATAATGGATTAATTATTCTCCTCATATAACTTTTATGAATTTCATTAAGTAAAGTAAAAATAATTAAATACACCGGCTTCAAATTCTCAACTAAAATTAGTTTCCCATTTTTATAGCAGACGAAATTCTGTTAGAAAATCTAATTTCGACGGTACAGAAGATTTATATATGCTACTTTCTTTTCTTTCATTTCTTTTTTCAAGTTTTTTAGCTGTTGCCGAGCTGTTACACTTAACTGCTCTGTCGAATAAACTCAGTTATTTAATTTAAAGTTCAGTAAGTTTCCTGCGAATTTTTCCAACTGAAATTTAGAGGCTTCAGTCTTCGTCCTGTCTGGACGTTCATTCTAAGCTAAATGTTACGTTTCACAAAATTTAACGTAGAAAATTGTTCTAATTTAATAAATCGCTTAGATTTTTTTGCAGGAACTAACTTTGATTACGAAGTCTGAAGATTTTCGTCATGTTTTAACATATACTCTAATACCGAGATAAAATATTGATGCAATATAAAATGGCCTTCATTCGTGTACTTTGATTTCGGATGGGATTTGAACTATTTTTCTAATTTCTGCCCCACACAGACAAGCTGAGCTATTAAAGTCAGAAATTACCTCCTGTTAAAATATTATTTTATAAAGAGATTTTACGTGTGCAGTACTTTGACTACTTCATCTCATCAGGTGCCTCTTTAGCACTTATTTTTCTCCTTCTGTTTCGTTACAAATCTCTCCAAGGGTTCCAATTTAGTTTCTCACTCTGGTGTCAGCTCCGACTTCTGGATTACTTTCAGCAGAGATTTCAGTTGATGAAACTAAGTTATACTTCATTATATGTCCACTCATCCCTCTAACTATCTGATATGATGTTTTTCTTGCTCTCTTTTTGTTATAACTTTCGTCCTTGAACGAACAGATAAAGTCCCGCCCTATTAATATCATATTAATTTCTCGTAGAACAGAGCAGTTGGTTTTTTTTTTTTTTTTTTTTTTTTGGTAATTTCTCCCTGAATATCTAGAATTTTTTTAATATCTAGAGTCCTGAATATCTAGAGTTTTAATGTTCATGATAACATTATAAATAAATTGTTAAACACCTAAGAAAAAAGACTTAGAATTTTGAATTTTGATGCGAAAGATTTTTAACAAACCATTTCGACCAATTCTAAGATATCTAAAACTAAGATCTGAACACCCCTGTAGTCGCGTCGCCAATAACAGTAATACCGAAAAACTGTCCCTTATAATGGTAGTAAATAAGCATCATTTTATTAAGTTTGGTTTGGTTTAGTTGATTATGGCAAAGCACACTAGGGCTATCTGCGTAAGGAAAGGGATACCTTCGTGGAACACATTCTAATGAAAACTGGTTCTTATACACGTCACAGATAGGAAAAGCTGAGGACCAATTGTATTCCATCAACTAAATTATGGTCTATTTATCTATGACATGCGATAAAACAAGTCCTCCGTCAGCTGGATCTCCTTCCATAACTGTATTTATTATTAATGCTACATGCACTAACTCCAGTCATTCTCTAATTCCAAACATATCTCGTAGTTTAGCATTCATTTTTTTATTTATATCAAAGCAGTTTTATTCCACAGGTATATAAGTAAACGCATCTAGGCGTTAATTTGAGAAAATCGACAAATCCTGTTTAATAAGCTCAGCCGCTTATTACGTTCAAATGTAAAGTATTCAAACAGAATACACATTAACCCATTTTATCCCAATTTATTTATTTTGTTCAATTTGAAAAGAATGATATTTTCTAAGGTTAATTAAACCTAAACAAATCTGGCCCGTCCTCTAAATAGGACACTTGGATAAAGGGGATAAAATTTGCACTTACATGTTTTTTGTGTTCTCTTCAATGATAAAAAGTGATTTCCGTGTACAAATTTTATTTAATTCGACTAATACTTTCTTATTTACAAGATAGTTCATTTTCAGATGAGTTTCACTCTAATTTTGGTAGAAAAGTCCAAAGCAAGCCTGACAAAGTGTTTTGTCACATTTGCCACAGTATGTTTTTGGTTTTCCTTTGCAGCCCTCTCTTTGACAACGACGCTGTTTTTCTCGCTTTTGTAAAAAATGACTAACACTTTGTTTACGGGTGTCTTCTTTTGCATCAGAAAATACAGTCCAGATCCTAGTGTACCTTTTGTTCTTATCACAGTTTCTTTTACATAAACTGTTGTTACAGCTCTTCGGAACACCTTCAAGTTTAGAGCTCCATTTTTGTTCAGAATTGTGTGAATTATCCAGGCGTTTACCATAGCCATACCCAGCGAACGTAGAAAAAGTGGCCAGTACCACTTTTGTTTCACGACTTTTAATGGAATAAAGTCCAGCCAACCAGTCGTGGCGATCCACACCGCCCATATGTTTGTTGTAGAATTAATCAAATTTTCATGTTATCTTTATTATCATTATTTCATGTTATCTTTATTTTCATGTATCATCTTCATGTTAACTTTATCTTTGTATCCTCTCACTCGCCTCTTCAGATCAAAGAGTGGTTCTAAAGTGCTGAAATTTGTAGCAACAGTGACAGTACTATTATCATTCCATCGCACCAGGAAAATCTCAAATTCCTCGTCAAATGCAAAATCAGACGTGCCTCTTTCTTTCTTCCGCATAGACTTAGATTCTTCTAAAGGAAACTCGTGGTTAATCCGATTTTCTCGTATGGTTACTGTAGCTCGAAAACCCTGTTTACCAAGACTTTTCAAAAGATAAATGCTGGTAAAAAAGTTATCAAAATATAAAGTGTAGCTTGAAGGATTCACAATATTCTGTGTTAGTTTCATCACAAACCGTCTACCAAGTGGAGTATCATTTCTCGCATCAGATTCTTTACTGCAATAGAGAGAAAAATTGTAACAATATCCCTCGCTTCCACAGAGAGCCCAACGTTTATATCCAAAACGTATAGGCTTGTCTAGAATAAACTGTTTCAGACTATTCCTACTGTAATACATGACGATCATTTCATCAATTCTTAGATTTGCAGAGAAGTGTCCAAATTTCATAAAATTATTATTGAGTACGGCAAACAAAGGTTTTACTTTAAAGGATCGATCCTGGGCATGCTGACTGACAGTTCCATTGTCCACAAAGTATAAATAATATTTCAACTTTTGGAAGTGGTTTCGTGACATGGCATTTTTCACCAGGGTAATGCTAAGGTCTTCAGCATCTGACCAGTAGTCACGTTCGCAGGTATTTGAATGATAACTAGTTAGAAGCAAAATTCCGATGAAAACACGTATTTCGTTGGCCGTGGTCAAGAAATCGTGTTTACACTTTTACATCTGTTGCATATCGCACAGTTTCTTTTACAATGAAATCGTAGACTTCACTGAAATAAAACTGCTCAAAAAGCTCTCATGGAGTTATCTTTCAATGCAGTTTCCATCTGCTTGAACAAGTCACTCGCAATTGATTGATCCTGTGTTTTCTATTTTGTATATTGTGGTGATTTATTCTTTATCCAAGATGACTGGTGTCTTTTAGCTTTTTTCTACTCTTTGTTGTGGAAACATTAGAGCTTGTGGACGGTTCAGGCTGGAAACTATCTGCAGTTATAACCTCCAGAGACCCAGGAACACCGGTTACAATAATCTCACCAGTATTTACATCATTCTCATTCCCTTCATTATCGTCAGTTAACTCACTGGCATTTGGTGGTAACACAGCAATTTCAAATTCGCTCTCATCTGAATCTAAATTATTGAATAGTTCTAATGCTTCCTCTAACTTCAGAAACCTTTGCCTCAGCAGGGGTGAAACACTAGATTTTTTTTTTACTCTTATTTATAAAGAGGGAAAGAACGCGTCAATTGCATACTTATCGTCTCATTTTCCTATTTAGAGGACAGTTAAAAAACAATGCGCTAAGACTCACCTAATAACAATAAAGATTTCCTTAACCACCAGGATGATAAGGAAAGAGTACTTTCAAGTACAAAATGCCCAGCCCAGTGTCCAAAGTAAACTGAAAACGAATTCTGCAACCACAAAGAAATGATACAAACCACGCACACTAATGCGATGAATAATCAAAATGTCCAGAGGAAGGATGGGGGAGAGTCACATAACTCACGCTAGCAGATGCTAATACATATCCCTACATATTCCAGCTGGAAAAATATTCGCACCAAGCAAATACTGATTTCTACATGCTATTTTTCAGCTGTCCTTTAAATAGGACAGTGGGATAAAATGGGTTAATCAATAAATAAAATCTGCCGTTTATTAAACTCAAGTCAGTAAAAGAATGACACTTCAATGTCAGAATGTCCTACTTGTACCTATCAAAGCCTTTTGTAGGTCATCAATTTAATGTAATGTGGACCGTAGCTTTATTATTTATACATGTAGTGTTTCGCGTTTGATCGAAAGTTTCCTATTCTCCGGTCCTCTGAAACACTGTTTTCGGAGTTTTTTGTCCGCACAGGGTTTCAGAGGGGCAAACTTTCCTTGCCTTAGGGTTAACAAAAACATTCACCTAGCTTAGCGAGAAGATAAATGAGCGAGGTCCTTTCAGCCAGTTAACAGGATGTGGAGGTGCAAATTCTGTATTACCTCTTTTAAAGTTTCCACATTCAAAATCTTCCGTTTGGGAAGACATGTTATGTTCACAAAGAGTTATAAAATCATTCATGAAATGTTTCTTAGCATTAAGGTACATTAATAGTCTTTTAATGAAAGGAGTTAATAATTGTAGGCTGAAGAAAAAGCAATGGAAACATTGAAATGTTTATAGTTATGAAATCGGAGATCGACTAAGATTTCCATATTTAAGAACCCCATTCCACATATGAACTCCTGGGATATACAGGATCCCTTGCCAGTGTGATATAATTTACATTGCTCAGATTAAGAGAGCCTTAAAATTTGGTGCTAAGGAACATGAGGCATATATTAGGAAAAAATAAATCATCTGTTGCGGAGCATTGTTGGTCAGAAAATCATATTTTCCATTTTCTGCAGCCGAAATTATTTAAAATCATCTTTCGTTGGCGAATTAGATTTTCTAGAGGCGTTTCGCGTTCATAAAAGAATTTCAGTTCTAGTTAGCGATCCCAATTTCAGTCTACCTTTACCCTCAGCTTTTAAGGAAATTATTACATATTTGTTTTCATGTTTCAAAAATAGATGGCGTTCGTAGCTTGGCTTTCTTCCTCTCAGTCTTATGGCCTTATCACTGGCTTCTGTTTCGTCATTGTATTTCTGCAGCTAAAGAATAAGTTTTACATTTAAACTTTCGAAAGTAATAATATACATTATGAATATTAAGCAGATTCCTATTGATTTAACTCCTCCAACAATCGTTATTCGGGGTGTTATTTTAACTCAATTTTTTTAAAGAAGTTTAGAATTTACTTTTGACCTATCATAGTAGAAAGAGAAAGTAGCAATTTTGTTATTTCTTTCTTTCTTATTTTTTTCTTTTCGGAAATGGAGCAGCGAAATGAAAAGAGAAAAAATACTTATTAATAATTAAATAACTGTACAACACACACATGTCTGATCTTTTCTGAAAGGCACTATTATTTCTTCTTGTAAAAACAGTTTCTCCTATTCAGTCTTTAAGCTGCGTTCACACTGGTCTGTTGGGGCGTTAAGCAGCAAAGCGTAAAAAAACGCTTTCCGCGTACGCCAGTTCACACCAGCGCGGCAATTTTCGCTTTAAAAGTTGTCATGTGCTCGCCAAATGGCGCTTCATATCGGAAACTCGGGGAAAAACGTGACATTTTTGTGTGGTATTTTGACATTTTACGATTACATTTTTTAATTAAAATGGATTTAATTTCTGCTCGATTAAAACTTATTTTACTTCTTACTTTGTATAAGAGAAGCAGAATGCGGTGGTTTGAACAAAACGAAGGCTCTACTCTTATATATGCCCTAAGGTTGCCAAATGCGGCGATATGTGTTGCGCGGCGCTGGTTTTTGGCGCGATTGCGTGTTCTGTTCCGCGATGGTTTTGGGGGCGATGTTGGTTTCTATGGCAACCCTCTTTACGTGCAACTTGGATCTGCTAGTTGGTTCGTGTGGTAATTAAGTGATTTATGACGTGTTGGCAAAATTTTAGTCGCATGCCTGGTGCAATTAATTTTTTCGGGTGGCTGGAAATTCTATAAGTATATTTAAGAGAAGAAGGTTTTGAACATTAATTTGTGAAATAAATTTTGTGGATAGTGAGTCTGCCTGTCATATAAATACGATAGTGATTACGTGGCGGCATGTTAAAGCGATGTTGCCGACTTATAATCGGAATGCGATTTGGAGTTTTATTTGGTGGTTTATATATTTTTCCATCGTTGTTCTGAAACGGGAGAAGATGATTTTAACAAATTTGTGGTGAAATTGTTTTGGTTATGTTTGAAATTGGTATTTCTGCAGTTCGAAGAAGCATTCATTCATGGTAAGTGCATTTTGTTTTATTCTTGTTTAGTAGAATGTTATGTTCATTTTTTGTATGAATTTCTGTCGTTATTATTGTTTTTTTGAATTGTTTGAAATTTATTTTAGTTATTTGCTACCTAAACTTTTTGTTTCGGATTTTTAGCTTAAATTGTGTGTTCAAAACGTGGTTTTTGCATGTGCGAAAATTGCGTTTTAGCAGACATTTTAGGCTAAAAGTTCGAAATGTAAACAAAACATTTAGGTAGTAATACGGCGGCATGGAGCGGCGAAAAATTTGTCGCTGCATTTGGCGACCTGAGGGCGCATATAAGAGTATTTCCAAAACGAAATTTCTTTTAATTATTTTCGCATGACACCTCATCAATTCCATGAATTTCCAGCGCTCATTGAACTATTTATTCAAAAGCAGAACACCAATTTTTGTCAGAATATCCCAGAAAAGAATGGTTTGGACTATAAAAATAGGATATCTCAAAAATAGGATATCTGTATATATTTAATTTAATTTATTCATGAATTTTGTTGAATGATAATTAAAAAAATCCTAATTGTATGATTCTGTTTTGGAGAGTAATTTTTTCATGTGGTACAATACCACACGATGTATGAACTTCCTTTAAATGCTTCCTTAAATAAACTTCCCTTAATTGGTTTAAATAATGCAGTAAAAACGTATATTTTGTTTAAATATATGCAGAATTTACAGCATTATTAAATTAAATATCACACTTAAAAAAGTAGTTATTTTTAAGTTAATAAATAACATCAATTTTCTTTTTAATTATTTTAGTTTCTGCCTTATATACATATTTTTTATCTTAAATTTAACAGTAACTACTTCAATTAGTCATTGATATATTAATGAACAGCCACTTTCGAAAGGCTTATTGTATAAAGTCACTTTTATCTAAAACTCATTGAAGTAACTGCATTTTATGTAATACTTCTTTTACAGCGTTAAAATTGAATTCCACAATCAGAAAATTTGCTAATACTGATGCAAACGTTTTTTAAATTAACGAAAAATTATCATCAAGATTAAACCTGTCGAAAAGTGGTCATGCATGTTAAGAAAAACGAACATGAAGCCGTTAAAATGCATAGAAATATTACATGAAATCAGATATATACTACCGAACTTCTTTTCTGTATAAATAACAGTTTTTTTAATTTTTTTTAAACAAATAAATGGTTTACTCGTCATCACTCCTTTAAAATTCAGAACTCACTAAATTTGTTAATTAGATGAAGCAGCAACTTTATACTAATACCAGTATATCTTTTACTAGTCTCGTGTCAGCCGAAATAGAATCAGATCATAGTAGTCAGATCTTATGAACTGTACCAAAGGCTCGTTGTCAAACGAAGGATAATACACACAATGCCGATCAAAAATTAGGTTTGTATGAATGAAATAAAAAATAAATGCAAGTTTCTTGTGTCACCTTCCCCCCACGAAAAAAAAGAAAAAGAAAAAAAAGAAAAAAAAGAAAAAAAAAAAAAAAAAAAAAAAAAACAAAAAAAAAAAAAAAAAAAAAAAAAAAAAAAAAAGAAAAAAAAAAAAAAAAAAAAAAAAAGAAAAAAAAAGAAAAAAGAAAAAAAAAATTGCGGTAGATTTAAAAAAAAGTATATTTGTACCATCATCAAAGGTAGGAAAAAGAAAGGCCCGAACCCGCAATTCAAACCCCTAGTGAAAGCTGAACCTTTTACTCGAGCGTGTTACCTC